AGCAACTTGCAGAAGAGAGAGGGAGCTCTGTGAAGAGCAGATAAAATAAGAGACATGTTTTAAATTTAGGTGGTTTGGCAGTTGAATCTTGAAACATTGTTTGAGGCTGCAAGAGCCAGCTAATTTTGCTTTAGGTTAATGTTCATGTCAATCATCCTGGCTGGGAGGGGTCTAGAACAGGCATGGGCAAACTTTTTAACATGGGGGCTGCATTACAGGCAGGAGAGGGCTGTGTGGGAGGGTTTCACACACAGCTGCAGGAGAGCATTGGACAGCTGCAAGTGTCTGCTGGGTCCTCTTGGCAGGAGGACATGGCAGCCCACCATGTCCTCCTGCCAAGAGGGTGATTTGACATGCAGATGCCCAGGGCTTTCTGGAGACTGCCCCTGGCCCTCCTCTTGGCACGAGGACAGTGAGAGACACTGAGACACACATGCATGTGTCTGCACAGCCCTCCTCTCATCATGGGGATATGCTGGGTCACTGTGTCCTCATGCTGCGATGACATGGAAATAGAGGAGGGCCAGAGAAAAGAGCCCAAGGGGCTACATCTGGCCCGCAGGCCTGGGTTTCCTGTGACTGGTCTAGAGGGATGCATTAAGAAYGGATTGGCTGAAGGGAGGTAGCAAGAGTGGGTTGATCAAGCCAAAAACATGTAAGTTTGTGAAGTATAAAAGGGGGACCGAGTGCCTAAATCTTGGTTGGACCATTTTTCCAGTGTTCGCTGGACTCCCCCCCCCCCCCAGCTGATTACACCAGACTTTTCTCAACCACCTTGCAACTTGGCCTTATTTGTGCCACCATTACAATTCCACTGCTACATGACTACAGAAAAGGGCTCATGAGTGGTGCTAAAAGGCTTGAAARTGGGAACACGCCTCTTGGTTGGGAGACTTGCTTTCTCAAATGCTGGAACAAGCCCTCCTTAAGTGTGCCTATTCAACCTCCTGGCAGAACCATTTGTCAGCTATTAGTTGTCAGCAGTGTCCTTTAAAAATAAAGAGCCAAGATAAAACAATATGCTGTGTGCATCAAGTCATTAGAGAAGAGCAAACATGAGATTGGGAGGAGTTTGGTGAATTTTCGGGGGGGGGGGGAGAGGTGGGGAAGGAGGGAAAAGAGCAGTGCAGCATGTCTTAGAGTGGATCTAGACAGCCCCTTTATTGTGGAAACTTCTGCATTAAAAAAAGGGCTGTCCAGACAACGTCCTGAACAAACCCGAATTAATTCGCCTCAAACCAGGAAAGCCCTTGTTTGTGGCAGATTAATTTGATAGTAGGTTTATTCTGCCCCTTCTTGTACAGTCAACAAAAATAATATAGTATCAACAATAACCTAATAATAATAATAATAATAATAACAACAACAACAACAACAACAACAACAACAACTTCATTTGTATTCCACACTATCTCCCCATGGGGACTCAGGCTGGCTACCAACATAGTAACAGGCAAACATTCTATGCCTATATAAACAAGGCAGAACTTGATATAGATCTGTAATTATATAAACTAATTCCACATATACATTTCTCCCTGAAAGGTTTGCAAATCCTCTCTCTGTATATGTGCATTTTCCCTGAAATATTTGCATGTCCTATATATTTATATTCATATCTATTTATACTTGTCTGTGCATATATCTATTTAGACACCTCTCTATATATATATCATTATATCTATATAGGATTTGCTTTAGCTTTCTGGACAATGGCCACCTTCTCATTGTAAGGTTTCTTGGGAAATCCTCTACAATCTGCAAGGCTGTGTTGTTTTTTTGTAAATAGGACACATGACCTTCTTAGGAGTGTGTCCAGACTCTAAAGGTTCAGGGTTAGTATTGGTGGAGTTGACAATAATGGTCCTTTCACTCTCTTTAAGTGGCCCTTTATCCTCATTGGAGAAACTTTCTGACTTGATATTTTGATAAAGGGCTGGAAATCCCATCTGGGGGTCATTTCTTTCTTTAGCAATCCTAATGATGAACTGGACCAAATGAGAGAATGGTGGGTACATCTGGCCATTCTTTTCTTTAAACATGAACACTTCCTTTCCCCAGCTCTCTTGAAGGGGAAAGGGAAGCTTCTGCAAAAAAATTTCTCTCTGTAAAGCATTAGTCCAGATAAGCTAGACCAGACAATTTTGGGTTATATTTGGCCAATTCAAACTGTACTAGGAGGTCACTCAAGTCCCACAATTTTTTGAAGTCTTTGAGTTTCAAGATCGGAAACATGTGCAATCTACAGAGTAAGGAGGCCTCGATCTCAGGCGAGTTCCCATATGGTTCATGATCATGAGTTGCTTTCTTAACTTGTGAAATTGTTGGTTGGTGTTGAGGCACAGGATGGTGCCAATTATAGAACAGTTTTCATCCTATAATTGTCTCTCTGTCTATATGTCCATGTGATGTGGAAAAATGCAGGGATTTGAAAAACCTATATGTTTCAGTGTGCACTTGAATGATGATTAGTCCATGTTCTTGAATGCCCAGCCCTAATTTACTGATAAGGTTGTATTCAGCAATATATCCCCAGCCCTATAATTTGCCTTTTGCACAAGCCCATGCCTTGTTGCGATCCTTGTCTCCTTGCTGAGTCAGTGTCTAATCCTCCTTATTCCTTACTCCTTATTCCTTATATCCAAGATCAGGTTCAGGGCAAACCATTGAGGTGAAGTCCAAAAACTTGCGCATTCCCTATTATGTCAACAAAGACTTTTAAAATGAATGCAAAGGTCCAGATGTGCAGAAGATGGAAAAAAGTGTGGAAGAAGACTATGTGTCAAACATCTGAAATAACTGTTGAAAATAAAGACAACAAAAACTGATTTACTATATGTAGCCAAAGTATACCGAGATGAACAACTTCATAGGAAAGCAGACACAATCTCTGGATAACTACAAAAAACTAGAATGATTGACCAGCCTCTATCGAGGAGGATGAGTTATAATTTGGGCTGCACTGCACTGAAGTACACAATCTCTATGTGTTTAGAAAGAAAAAACCTTTAAACCAAGGAAATACTGTTCTGCCATGGCAGCTAAAAAAGAGGGATATAAAACTACCGTGCAATGGTTTCCACAAACCTTATCCTGAAGTTCCAATATTATTTAATAGCCTCCTTACTTAGTCTGAAATATATGACAATGTTTGTTTACATCATTGAATTGTTCTTTAAATTTTACTCCCAATGCTTCTGTGAATTCTTCTACAAGGAAGAAGCGGCTCAGATTGGCTGGCTCCACTGGTAGAAATATAGTGCTTTTCCTTCTAAAATATTTGCCATATGAATATGTGTGGGGGGAAACCACTAGTGTGTATATAAAAATGTTAAAATCTCTAAGGCATATTTAGTGTCATTAAACTTTTAATCTCATGAATGGAATTGATCTAGATGGGGTTTTTTTGTGTTTTAAATCTTTTTGTCAAGGACCTTACAGCACCACAGTAGTAAGTTTAATATATAGGCTTTTCCTACCCTCCGATTGTCCTTTCATGCTCACAACCACTGTACGCTAAAAGACATCAATTGGCCTAAGGTTCAATGGAGAAATGTCATGACCAAATACAATTGGGACTTGGCTTTCCTAATTACAGTCCCAATGTTCTATTCACTATATCAAATTGGCTTATCCAAAGCACTTATTTTCACAATGTGACTCGTGGAATCTCACCTTCTCTGTTTTTCTCTTCTCTTTTTTTTTCTCTTAGCAGAAGGAAACGGAGGATGCTATTCCTCAGGCCAGTTTTTAGGGCAGTCTGTGGGCCAGTAATTAGGCCATCCTTCAGGTCAGTTATCAGCTCAGCCTCAAGCATCCGATCTGACATCAGAGACGTCAACATGATCAGCAATTTTCTAGAGAGGGAATAAGGAGATTGCTAA